CTTCATCTGTAAACAGAGGATAGTGCCCAGAGGGCCCCTTAGAGGACTCCATGTCTTGTGTGAAGTGCTGGGTGCACACAGGGTGCTGCAGAAGTCTATCCTGTCCCCTTGTGTGCGGGTGTGTGATTGGGGCAGTGTTTTGGGGGCGGGCCTCACATTGCGCACTGTTGGTGGACATCTCCTTTGGAAAGGGCTTTCCCACTGTGAAGTAAATCCTCCTAAAATGCAGCCATCCTGCCCTGGCTGGGTGGTTCAGTGGGTGGCACCATGGTCCCGATACACCAAGGTTACAGATTTGATCTGTGGTCAGGGTACATATAAGAATCAACCCATGATGGGGGGATGAGGACACATTTGTAATACCTTAAGCAATAAAGAAATTTAAAAAAAGAAGAAGAATCAACCCCTGAACGCATACATAAGCAGAACAAGTGGATGTTTCTCTCTCTCTCTCTCTTAAATCAATCAATAAAAAAAAATGTTTTTCATGCGGTCATTCTCCAAGCTCTGCCTGCTGGAGCCTCTTCCAAGCATCTTGCCAAGAGGGGCTTCCCTAGGCAGCACAGACAAGCCCGCACGCCCTGCGAAGCCACCCCCCGCTGGAGGGGTGATCTGGGATCACTCACAACTTCAGGGTTGTTACTCTGCGGGCGAAATCTGGGTGAAAACAGCCCGTTCCAGGAATGTTCTCCGAGGGCCCCGGGGTAACTGAGTATCTGACGAGTTTTGAGAAAACCCGTTTTGTTAGGGCAACGTGGGCGTTGTCTCCAGAAAGCATGCGTTAATGGGGTTGTAACTAGCCCAGTGGAAGCCTGCTGGATTGCATCACCTTTTTATTCCAGTGGCTGCGAGCCTCGGCCAACAGAACTCCCAGGGGACCCATCGCCGGGCTCTGATTCACGGCTGGAGCCTGAGGAGCAAATACTAGGTGTGTCCAGCTTTGCCGAGGAAGAGCGTCCGGAACCGTGACCCTCAGAGGTTGTTGTGAAAACATCCTACAGGGAAGGCCACGTCCAGCTCGCCATTAGTCATTTCACGGACGGACTGAGCTCAGACTCTAAGCAATTCCTGGCCATCACTGACCTCACATGTATATATTTTATCAGGAAGGACTCGGCGTGCTCGCTTGAAGTGAGAATACTCTGGCCGGCTCCACGCCTACAATTCCTGTTGTAAAGCAGTAAACTCCCATTCCATCCAGTTTACCCATCAATCTCCTCCGAGTCCAGATCAGAGACAGAGCAAGCCCAGGTAAAGTGTTTTCTGGGTCCGCGGGCACTGGAATGTAGGGGTCACGCCAAGGCACGGGGCGGGGGGTGGGGTGGGCAGTCAGCCCTCACCAGGCACACGTGCACCTGTCATCTCCCGGCCCCGGCAGCTGGGGTGGGGCCACTTCACAGGCCTCGCCCACTGGAACGTGAGCAGACGTGGGGTATCGCAGCCAAAGGCGGTTTCAAGCGTGAACACGAGCCCCCGTGCTCTTTCCCCACCGAATGCACAGCTGGAAGCAAAGAACGCTGAGAAGGCAGGGTGTTAAATGCAAGCAGCCTGGCTCTGCTGGTCACCGAGGGAGGGGAGGCATCGGCAAAGTCCTGACCTGCAGTGGACTGGGACCTGAGCTGGAAGTAAGCCATGGCCGCCCAGCCGGTGTGGCTCAGTGGTTGAGCGTCGACCCACATACCAAGAGGTCACGGGCTCGATTCCTAGTGAGGGCACATGCCCAGGTTGCGGCCTTGATCCCCAGCAGGAGGCAGCCAGTGGATGTTTCTCTCTCATCGATATTTCTCTCTCTCTCCCTCTCTCTCTAAAAATCAATAAAAACCTATTTTAAAAAAAAAGAAAAGAAAAACGAAGCCTTTGCCGTGTCAGTGACTGGGACTCCCCGGAGCCCTGCCCTGGGCATTAGCAGCCATCCCTCCAGTCCCTCCCACGAATGCAGTGTCTGCAGCCTGCTCGGGGCTTCTCTCCAGCACACACACCTCTAGCTCTACATTTCCTGCTTGTGCAGGAAGAGACATCGCTCCAAGTCCAAGTCCCACTCCGCCGGGACAGCGCTCCGGGGCCCGCTCTTCCTCACCGGCAAAATCAGGGGAAAAGACAATTCCTGCAGGAGCTCTTTCCTCCCCGGTGTCTTTCTTGGGTCTAAACTGTCCGGGATTTTGGCGTGGGGCCGGGCACACAGTAGGTGGTCAGGAAAGCCCGGCCATCGCGGTGATGCAGACGCATCTGACTACCTCGGCAAGGGTGGAGCAGGCGGTTTCCTGTTGCACAAGTCCACAGGTCATCAGGCATTTATAAAGAAAACGTTTATTTTCATCACAAGAAGCACACGGACTATATACAGTACACACCAACAGAAGTAAAAAAAAAAAAAAAAGTGCATTATGCATCTTCTACTGCAAATTCACAGTACAAAAGATACTGCCTTTTAAATATATACTATAAAAAACACAATATAATAAAAAAAATTGGTATCATTACACAACACCCTGGAACCCACTGGCAGCTTCTGAAAACCAAAGGGCAACCATCTTGTGGGGCTCCTGATTTGGGGTGGGGGGCGGGGGGAGGGTGTCTGTACCTGCATTTTGTTGCAAAGAGCTCAGGACACCAACAGAGACGAAAACAGGGTGGCCTAGGCGGTAATAAAAACCTCTGTGAAAGAAGAGGACAGCTGTGTGACCGGGAAACGGGTGAGGGCTGGGCTGCCGTCAGCACCCCCAGCTGCCAGCACCCCAAGTTCTAGCCTTCCCTCACTATCACGGGACGCGCGAGGCGTGGGCCAGAGCCGGCCTCGCCTGCAGGGACTCCCAGAGCCGGTTCGAGCCACGCTCCTCGGACAGGTGTGGGTGCACGTGCGCGCGAGACTGCACAGCAGATGAGCAGAAGGACGGGGCAGGGCAAGCTCCAGCCCGAACGCCAACCACCACGGACAAGGCCAGGTATCCAATCACAGAAGGTGAGAGCTTAGCACTTTCCCATAAATACACAGTATTTGTAAACTATGATTAAGGCACTCAATTGTAAAACAATAATTACAGTGTCCAAGAAGGGGGGGAAGAGGCCACCTCCTCGTGCAGCACAGCTGACAGGAAGGACAGCAGGGCACTGGGGGTCTGGCTGGGGAGCCTCCGTGTCAGGGCCGAGGCCAGGGCCGCAGCACCTCCTCTAGGACCAGAACAGGGCAGTCCTGTCCGGAGCTACCGAGGGTGTGGCACCGCACAGCGTCACTCCAGACCGCCCCAGGGGATCCGCCTCACAGCATGGGGACGGTGCGTGTGTGAATGAGAAGTGATGCACATGATGATATGATTCAAGTTATATATATATATACATCCAAATATATATGTATATATATATATATCCAAATATATATATATATATATATGTAGAGTGAACTCAAACACAACAGGCATTCCATGGCAGAGCAGACAATAAAAAGACCAGTAGCTGACCATGGGGGTCAATCAACTACCTTGGTTTGGCATGCAGCATCAGCGAGAGCCTGCAGGGTGGGACCAGAGCGGGTGGCCCTGCACCGCGCTGTCCAGATGTCACCATCTTCCCAGCCTGCCTGGCTCCACGGCCAGAGGTGAAATGGGCGCCCTGTTAGGTGGGGAGCCAGGGGAGGGTTGGGTGAAATGTATTCCGGCGTCAAGCATTTCCAGGCAACAGAGAGCAAGTCCCTCTTCGGACACCTTGGGGGAGGTGGCTTATATGATCTTGACTAAATGATACAGCGTTTATTCCCAATAGAAACAGCCCCAGGGGAGCAGGGGGATTCCTCTTCCTTCTAGGATCGGACCTGTGGGGAGAGACAAGACTGCCAGGGTATAGGGCTGTCCTCTAAGTGTTAATTCTATTGCAAGCTTGGCTCCATCCTGGGGCATCCTCTGGGCGTACCCATGAGGGAAGTGGCTTTGGGATGAGCTGGAATGCTTTCAGCTGTGAGGGCAGGTGGACAGAGGGGGGTTGGCCAGTGCAGCCACCCGAGGGCCTGGTGAGTGACCTGCACACCAGGTGGACAGGGTGTCATCTCCTGGCAGAGAGCTGTCACCAGCCCAGGGGTCTGAGACCAAGGAGGCAGGGAAATCGCACGAGTAAGAAGAACCTTGTTCTTCAGAAGCTCCCGCAATGACAGACATCGCTCCGCGACAAAGAAATGGAAATCGCCATCGTCAGAGCGGCATCTCCTCGCTCCAGGATCAGTTTCCCCCTTATACCTAACAACTCCTGGCCAGGTGACCCCCCTGGGCCAGTGCAGCAGGAAGGTCTAGTTCCCCCGAACCTTTGGCGTGCCATGTGACTAAAAGCGGGGGGGGGGGGGTGGAAGATGAAACGAAGCTGAGAAAATGTCTGTTCTCTCCTAATTTGACAACGGCCTTCCACGAAGGGGGCAGTCGCCGATGTCATGGACTTCCAGGGCACGCACCCTGCCCCTCACTTGTGCCGCTCGCCTTAAGAATCTTCCCCACCAGCTAAGATTACAGACAGAACATCGGTCAGGGTACGGTGCCATCTTAGGGGGGCAAACTTCCCTTCAGAGAGCAGCATGGCCTGATGACCTGTCTGCCAAGGTGCACCCCGCCTCCCGCCCGGCAGGATGCTCTAGTCAGTATGTTTCAGGTAGCAATTTGCCAGATGTCGACACGCAACGGACCTGGGTCTGTGGGTCAAGAAGGTCTCTTCATTTTGCTCTGAAGGTGGGGCCCTGGTTTTGATGTTAAAATACAAATTGTGCTTCTGAAAATGCACCGATCGTTTTGACAAAAGCCAAAAACCCACTCAGACTTGTCATCCTCCTCCCACCCTTTCACGGGATCAGAAAAATTATGGCTTTCAAAATTAAAGTTTTCGAAAATATATCACTCTCATACACATGGTTTTAAAAAAGCAAAACAGCCTGTCATCACCAAACCTAAAGGATTATTTTGACACAAAAATTGATCCACCACATGAAATTTAATTTGGCAAGACATATTGGACTTGATTTTTTTTTTTCTTTTTTTGAGAATATGCTTTTGTTGGCTGAGAGAGAGAGAGAAAAAAAAGACCTAACAGGGTTTTTGGGAAAAGTGAATAATCCCCTTTAAAGGTGATTTCAGTGAATGGTGGTGGGAAAAATAAATTCCTATAAAGTAAAATAACATATATTTTTAAAAATTAAAAGGATATGGTCAGGGAGAAAAAGTTCCTGGAGAGAGGGTTTTTGCAAACAACTAAAAACCAAACTCTCGCATTAGTTGAAATATGGACGAGCCTGGTTCCCGAAGACCCTGCCTGGTGCTTCTAGAATGGTGGCTGTCGGGGGTCCCAGTCTGACCAATGTCCGGTGGCAACTCATTCACCCACTTTGAGAATCTGGCTGGTCCTTGAGGGCTTTCTAGCTTCACTGAATTAACCTGGCTGACCAGCCAGGAGTGTCCCACCCACACACAGCCACCCGCCTGTAGGAGACGCCCTCGGGGTGGGCTGCAAGGTCTGGGCTGGGAGAAGGATTTGGCCTGAGGCGTTATGAGGCCCGGAAGGTTTCACATGTGCCCAGTTTCTCCCAAGAGGGCCCTGGGTAGCCCTCTGCTGTCCAATAAACCCAGGGGTCAGCAAACTTTTTATGCACAGGCCTGCTAATGAACATCTTGGCTTTGCAGGCTACGTGGTCTCTGTTGCCTATGAGTTAATTTTTTTTTTTTTTATAACCCCTGAAAAGGATGAAAAACCATTCTTAGCTCATGGGACCATATACCACAGTTTGCTGACCCCTGAATTCAACCTTTCTAATCAAGCCCCTTCTCTCTTCTCAAAATATTTTAACATCCCGATGTCGTGCTGACCGACACCAGACGACCCTCCACTCGAGCTCAGAGCTGCGGCAGCATGAGGCACCCAGCTCACCCGGCTGGGACTGCAGGCCCTCCCGCGCCCCGTCCACCCGCTGGGAGCCACCAGAGGGAAGCGAAGGGGCAACTGTAAACATGGGGAAGCTATTCAACAGCTGCGTTTCTTTCACAGAAGCTGCCCTTAGGGAGGAACCGATCGTTTCTCACTACTGGGTCTTCTTTCTCCCCCCAAACATGAGCAGATGTGACAATGAGTGAACCTGAGTGCCGGGTCCCTGGCAGGACAGCCTGCATCTCAGGACCCCGGACCCCCAGACACCGTCAACCCCTCTTCCCTGCCACGGGGGCTCAACAGCAGAGGAGACCAACAGCGCTGCTGGGTCCGTCTCCCCAGATGGGGGGCAATTTGAAATCCACCACAAGCAACAACTGAGGACATCACACACGTTTCCCCACCGGACCCCAGCGCGGGCCAGACGCACATGGCTCGGCAGTAACAACACGCCAGGACCGAGGAGTCGGCAGCACAGAGGACCACGCCCCACAGAGCTGGTTCCACAACAGCCTCCCACACCTTCGCGTCCCTTTCCCTCGCAGGGCCCGGTGAGGTCATGTTAGAAATCCTAACACCTTTTTCAACAACAAAATTCCCCCTTGGGAACCCTTTTTCTGACACAGCAGTATTCCCTGGAATGAGCCTTGGGCATCACTGTATTTTAAACATAAAAAGCACAGCAAGAACAGAGGTAGGACTTATATTGCCATCCAAGACTTTTCCCACGCGGGCTGAACGAGCTAGGACCATGTGGCTGGCGACGGGGCCGCCGCCACAGCTGTTCTGTGCCTGTTGCAAACAGCGTACTTGGACGTGTGTGCGCATCTGTACATGCCCTGCAGACACGACTCTCCTGGAAAACGCATGACTCGGGCTCAGAGTCTGCTGGCCACACAACAGACACTCCCCTTTCCTCCTGGCTGCGAGTTCTTAAACGCCACAGTTTGAGGGAAATTGAGAGACGCGAGGGGCTGACCGAAACCCGTGGTGAGACTCAGGGAGGGGTCATGTGATCAGCTGGTGGCGGGTCAGCTTTTGCTCAGCCACGAGGAGCTTTTCAAGTTTTCTGGGGAGGGTTTCCCTGATGGTTTAGAGGGGGCGGCTGGGTTCCGCGGGGTGGCCTGGGGCTCGTGCAAGAAGGAGGCCTCGCTCGACTTGGCGTCCTGGGAGTCGGCGATGGTGGACAGGTCAGCCTCACTGGTCAGGTCTTCCGTGGAGAAGTCAAGACTTCCGAGCTTGGCAAGAGAGTGCGAGCGCTTGAGCGGGGACGAGACGGTGAGGCCCGCCAGCCGGAGCCGCGTCTCGATCTCCTGCGTCCGCTGCTTCACCAGCCCCGGCTTCCCGCGGACGCTGTGGATGCTGTCGCTGCTGGAGCTCCGGGTCAGGTTGGAGCTCATGGAGGACGAGGTGGGCGTGTAGCAGATGGTCTTCAGGAAGTCTTTCGAGAAGTGGCTGGTGTGGTCCAGGCGGCAGAGGAAGGGAGAGGGGCTCTTCAGCGAGGCTCCCTCCAGCGGGATGGGGGTGGCCTCCGGCTTCTCGTCACTCGCCCCCGGCGGCGGCAGGTCGGGAGCCAGGTCGGGGCTCTCCTCGGGGATGCTGGCCTCCAGCCGGCCGGCAGGGCCGTCCCTGAGGGGGGCCGCCGGGTCTGCGGGCGCGCCCTTCAGCCGCTCCAGCTCTTTGGTGTGCTTGCGGACCAGGCCCGCCTTCTGCAGCTGGAGGATGGACTCCTGGTGCTGCATCAGGTAGCTGTGCGCGCTGGGCTTCTCGGCTTCCTGACTGAACAGCAGCCGCAGGTCCTTGGCCGGCTTCGCGTCTTTCTTGGGTGGCGATTCCTCCTTCACCACTTCCATGCCGGGAGGGTTCTTATCACAGTGAGAATTCTTCAAAAGGAGGGCCTTTGGCAGGACTTTGGGGGTCTCTCTGGAAGGTTCCAAAAGGCTAGCTGGCGGCTCTGGGGCAGCCCTGGGCCCAGAGCCCCCAGGGTCCGGCCTCCTCGGGCCTGCTGGTGGCAGGAGTGGGGGAGTTTCGGGGGGGCCGGAGGCCAGCTTCTCCAGGGCTCGGGACCGGCTGGCTGTGTAGGCCACCGGGGAGGACGTGAGGTGGGGCAGGAAGGTTGGCTGGGTGCAGATGGCGGGGGCTCCAGGGGTCTCGCGCCGCTCCCCGAAGGCCTCGGGAGCCCTGCTGGCTGTGGGGTACATGCAGTCGGCACAGGACTTGTAGGAAGGCTTCACTTTGTTGAGGATCCCAAATAGAGCATCGTGCTGGAAGGGGACAAGAACGTCATGAGAGCATGATACAGCCAAAGACCACGACATACCAGGAGGGCGTGGGCGGGCTGGGGGGCCCTGGAGGGATGGTGGTCTCACTGCAGGAATAGGGACTGCTGGCTCTGAGACAAACCCAAGGGTCCCTGGGGGTAAGAACTGCCGAGCTGGCGGAACAAAGCAGCAGAGGGGGCTGGGAGGGGGGTGGGACAGAAGTGATGTGGCGGGTTTGCTGCCCCACACGCTGGCCCCACACCTACCTCAAAGTCGTCCGGACAGCTCCTCTTGCTATTGTTATTATTTAGGTTTTCCCGGTTGAGCAGGCTCTTATCCAGCTGGGCTGGGGACCTCCCCCACCGCCCTGCTCCGGGAGCCTCCTCCCTCTCCATCTCCTCCACTGCCGGCAAGGGGCCACTGTGGGCTTTCGGGCTCCCGAACTCCGGTTTCTTCTTCACCTCCTTCTCACAGGGCCCGGGGCCTTCCTGGGGAGGTCTGGCTGGCTTGGGCGCTGCTGGAGGCTGAGCTGCTTCCTCCAACAGAGCATCCTTCTCCAGATCCTCCAGCTGGACCAGGCCGCCGGTTTCGTCGCTGGGGGAATGCAGGAGGGGGTCTGAGAGCCGTCGGAAACAGCAGGAGAGAGAGGGTCCTCCTCCTCCTGGGAACCCAGGCTGGGCAGCATCGTCCAAGCAGGACAGCCGGGCTTCCCGGGTGTCATCCAGGGTCTCTGGCAAGAAGTCCCCGGACCCCGCGAGGTCACCCACGGGCTGCTGGAGGCGGCTCTCAGTCTGCTGGCGCCAGAGCTTGTTGTGCCTTTGTTTGCTGGGGGAGGAAGGGCAGAGGAAGGTCGTCAGAGGCCAGGGCCCAGCCGCTCCTGGGAAGAGGGGTAGGGATAGGGGGAGCCAGCGAGGCTGGTGTAAAGCCTCTTTCTGTTCATCTGTCCCCAAGAAATGAAAGGACGAGAGAAGCAGAACTAGGACCCAAAAATCATCGTGGCCCTCGCGAGAAACTTTAAAGGATTCTTTGTCATGTGACGACAACATGGCAGACGTGTGAAGGGCACCTAGACCTGAAATGCTATCAGGAGCGAGTGTCCCATCTCATCGGGTCATGCCACTTCATGTCTCACCTCTCAGTTTCTCCATCTGTCAATATAAATATTTATATACGTACCGGTATATAGTTATACTAATACAGCAATGTGAGTACGTAATGCACGTGAATAAAGTTGGGAAGATTCCAGAAAACTATAAATGTTGTTTATAGTGAAACTGGATTTTTTTGGGGTGAAAAAGACAGGTTTTAGGAAATTTTAGAAATTAAGAGGACCATGGAGGAAGCACAGGGCTGCAGAGCAGCAGCAGGTGTATTTCCATGGAATGGGGAGCTGAAAAGCTGCACCGGTACATTTCCATAGAATGAGGGAGCTGGGAACAGCAAAATGTCTATATTTACAAAATAAAGGGAGGAAGCCCTTCATCCAGAAGGAGTAGAAGAAAGCCCAAAGGGAACAGGAAAACAATAAGGACGGAAGTGGGGGAGAACCTCACATGTCCCATGTGAGGTTCGACCTTGAGCTCAGGAGTTACTATAGTAACCAGCCTAAGGGAATAGTGACCAATCAGAGGGGATATCAAGGCACGAGGACCTGAAGCCTTTATAAGCCGCAGGGAAAAGGAACTCAGTGGGACCCCTTCCCCCTCCCCAAGTGGGAGTCTGTACTTGTTCCTCAGTAAATCTCCACCTTTGCTTTAACATCTTCTGTCTGTGGATTCACTCTTTGACTCCGGCGGAAAAAGAATCCGGGACATCCTGCCCAGTCCAAAAATTCTGCTTCATTCGTTTAGGTCAGAGACATTACAGGTCCGTTTTAAAAATCTGTCTCCTAATACTATGGTGTTATTTTTATGATGCATTTCCAAAACATAAAGGTAAAAAGAGAAAGGCTTATAGTGAAGTAAGGTAAAGAAGTCACCTCCATGAACCTGAGAGCAATACAGACATCATGGGGTTGTAAGGGTTGAGATGAGAGAATTGAATGTAAATGAAGGCTCTGCTATTGTCGGTCAATGCGAGAGAGTGTCAGGATCACTCATGACTGCTTGCTCCCTGGGCATGTTCTGGGCGAGGCTGGGGGCCCTCAGATGGGGCTGCGATTCAAGGTCAACACTACGCAGCTGTGAACCCAGCCTGGAAACCCCTGGATGGGCTGAAAGGGCACTGGTGGAGTAAGGGGCCGAAGGGCTCAGCAGTGCACACTTCTCCGTCTTGGCCTCCGCCCTGCCTGGGGATCTGTCCAGCCACCCTCTGCTAGACAGTGGAGATGTCCGGAGCTGTCCTCTGGACCCTGTCCAAGCCTGCTTCCCCAAAGCGGTCAGAGGCCGAGACTTAGCCTGCGGCTCCCTCACAGCACCAGTCAGAAATAACCAGGGAGGCCTCCTGCAGACGGAACAGAAAGGGAGGAGGGGGACAGAGACACTGAGTTCCGAGGTATAGCAGGGATCCCCGGGGTGGCTGGAGAACCTGGGGGCCTCCCTGCTTTGGAGGCCAACACACCTGGGCAGGTGCTCCCTTCTGCTGTCCCTGGCTGTGAGGTGCGGGGCAAGCCAACCTCCAGCGTCAGTCCCTCGTCCTCCCGTAAGTGGGGGTAACCTGTACCCTGCAGACCTTCCCAGGTGGGGTTAGAAATTGTGGACGAAAGGGGCCACATGCTGACCTGACAAGCTCAGGGAGGCCTGCATGGCATTCTTGCAAACTTCGAGACCTAAAGTAACCACAAAGGATGGTCTGGAATTAAACTTTAACTAAAAGCAGTTATGGTGGGCAGTTACGTCCTAGGCCGGTATCTTCACTGACAAGGTCAACCTTTACCTTAACTGAGCCTATCTGTCTTTTTGCATCTATGATAACATGTCCTTGGGATGTCTGGGTAACTTGTGACTTCCCTTTATCTGGAGCCCCTGGGGCACAACCAAATGTGCTGGGCCCCAGGACAAGATACCACAGATTCCTTCATCATCATGTTAATTGTTCCTGCACCCACCTAAGTATGTGTCCATCATTTTACTTTTTATCCAATCCCAGGGGTTTCCCTGTTTTGCTTATCCCTCCTCCTTAATCTATCACCAATGAATTTCATGTAACCCACCTATGTTCCTTCTTTGATTGCAAATGTATAAATGCAGATGTAACCCCACCATTCTCCGGAGCATTACCTCAATTCGTTGAGGTTCTGCTTCCCGGCATATGTCAACAGTTTGGCTCAAATAAACTCACAAAAACTCTTTACAGGTTTCAATGGTTTTTTTACGTTAACAAAATGCAGAAAAACGACATCTCATCTACTGCAGCCAGGTCTAGCAGAGCCTCCACAAGGTGACGGTACTCATGTGCATCTCACAACCACCAGACCAGGTGGGCGCTGGTTCTTTGCTCAGAAGAGCCCGGGGGGGGGGGGGGGGGGGCGAAGCTGATGAGCCTGCCCTGAGCTGCCCTGCTCATCAGTGGGGGAACCCCGCCTGCCCCGCAGTCCTCGGCACTGCCCTACGGCGAAGCCTGGCACAGCGCCGGCCCAAAGCAGATGCTCAGGAAACGGGGCACCCACACGCCCGTGCCGCACACAAAGCCGAGCCTTAGAGCAGGAGTCAGGCACCGTTCCCTCCCGCAGCAAAACAGCCGTGCGTGCCAACAACATCAGAACAGATCCCTCCTGGAAACCACTCATCAAACGCCAAACAATAGTTGTTTTTCTCAAACCGGCTCCCCCCCACCCCTCGCCCCCCTGCGTCAGGGTTTTGGCTGCAGAAGCCACTGCTGCTGCGGGCGGACGGCGGCTCCGCGAGCTCAGTCCTGCCAATCCTCGCAGACAGTCACCCACCTCGCGTCCAAGATGCCTTCATACTCAGACAGCTGCCTCATGAAGCCAGCGTTGGGGCGCGTGATGCTGCGCTTCTGCTTCACATAGTTGTAGGCCTTCTCCAGGGGCCAGCCGAATTCCTTCATCGCATAAGCGATGACCGTGGAAGCGGAGCGGCTGACACCCATTTTGCAATGTACCAGGCATTTGGAGTGGTTCCTCCTGGCGGGGGAGAGAGTTTTAAGGAAGCTTAACTTCAATCTCTCTGTTTTTTTTTTTCACAACGGACAGTTTTAAACCCTGGCGTTATGTCATTGCCCAAATGCTCCCAGTCCCGATGTGATGTTTACGCAGCACATGTCCACACCCTCTAAAGGAAATCGCTTCCCTGCGAAATCAATTAGCACACAATGGGGAATCAAGATAAACCTCTCCTTGCCCAGCAAGTTTTGCAGGGAGAGCTCAAAATCTGGGCGGACTTCAGGGAAAAGGTGGGTATCTTCCCACATTGCTGGGATAGGCTCGGAGACCAGAAACCCTTTTGTGGGAAGCAAGTGGGCAGCGAAAGAGAGATCTGCAAGAGAGAGAGTTCTAGATACACAGCAGCTAGAGCAGATGGAGACGGGGAAGGGTTACTACAGAAGAATGGGGTCAGAGAACCGGAAGCCGCAAGGCCCTCTGGAGACAGGAGGTCAAGGAGCCAGGGCGAGGCTAGCAGCACCACGGACTTGGCGGAGACAGAGAAAAGCCAGGGGAGGATGGGGCCCGAGGTTGTGAGGAGGCAGTGCTGGCCCGGGCGCGGCTGATTGCACAGACAGGACAAGGCCAGACACGGCGCTCCTCCGCTCCTCTGTATCCATTGCTGGAGAACGTGAGGGAGCGCCGGGCTGGAGAGGGCAGCACCTGGCAGCTCTGTGTGCCCAGGAGGCGAGCCCACCTGTCTGCCTGTTTACGTTAGGAGGAGCCAGCCTGTCAGTTGAGCAGGCTCATTTCTCCTACCTCAGGCTTAAAATTCATCACCGAATCTCAGTGCCTTTTTTTTTTTTTTTGACTGCTGGTCTGCTGTCTACCCCAGGAATGCAAACTATGAAGTCACCTAGGGAAGAGCAGGTTATGTCGCTTTGACCTGGAGGGGTGCAAAGCAGAAGATGGGGTTCCAAGGGGTGCTCTCTGTTCTGACTGCATAAGGCAGAGCTGTTCCGCAGGAGAATACGGTGAGGACCACAGTTGCGTGAAACCATGACGGGCTCACGGTCTGTCCCATTCTGCTGGGAGGGACGGGACAATCGCGCTAGCTCAGGGGGGAAGGCAGCCCTCGCTCAGGGCATCGCCCGAGTAGACTTCTCTGAGGGAGCAGTCCCAAAGGTGCTCCAAGTCCACATACAAGTGGCCCTCCCTTCTCTCCTTTGGCTCAGCGGCTCCCTCGGGCAGAGCCTCCCATGAGTGTTCATGTGGTACTGGATTCTTAACTGGAACCAGTGCTGATGATGAAACGGGCCAAATGTCACAGCCAATGCTAGGTGGGAGAGAACCAGCTCATTCGGGCCCCCGCCTGGAGATCAACAACTCTGAGGGGTCCTGTGGTCTGAAGTCAGAGGGCCACCAGACACCCAGGCTCCCTAAAGCCAGGAGATGTCCATGTCCTGGGCTGTCATTAATTTCTGCCCACCCAGCATCCGCCGGTTTCTCCCTCAGACCGGTTTCTTTGGCTTCTCCGCCCACTTACTTTGCTTTGTTTATAAAGTGGTACGCCTCGTTCCAGTGGGCAAGAAGGTCTGTTGTCTCTTCATCATAGACTCGGATGTTGTGATATGCAAATAAGCCAGGGAAGAAATTATCTATTTCTCTAGTGACATTTAAGATGTAGTCAACACTGCAATGACAAAAAAGAAAAAAAAAAGAAACACATTTGGAGAACCAGAATGAGGAGCTACAAAAAACAAAATAACCAAAAATTGAACAGAGAAAAAAATCAAGTATGTATTATTAAAGGGCATATGTATTTATGGTAGGACTTCTGTTTTTTTCTTAATAGTAATTTTTTTTTGTATTTTCTAAATGCCCTCTCTATGATGAGAATGTATTATATTTATAATAACAGACAAACTTCTTTATAAAAAATTTATAAAAAGAAAACAGTTAAAAGCATTGCTAAGCACTGTTAACTCTGGAAGGCAGATATATATTACTTAAATGCGTTTTACTAGGTGCACCAGTTAATTATGCGGATTTTTTTCAAGATGGAGTTACACATATGTTGATATATATGCGATTTGATATGTATGCGGTTTTGTTGTATTGCTCCTCCAGGTGACCATTTGTTCCGATCGATGGCACCCGCGCTTTCTGAGCAGCACTTCAGAACGTACGAAGAAGTGGAAAACTGGGGCTCTGAATGGTCTGCCTCACAACAAGAAAAGTTCTATTGGGACGGTCTCCACAAATTACCTGAAAGATGGGGGAAATGTGTAGCTAGCGGTGGACATTACTGTGAATAAAGCACTTTTGATGTTTCCCTTGAAATTATCCTGTTTTCTTTGATTACAAAATCTGCATTTTTAATTGGTATCTGCATTTTCAACCGGTCTGGTGAATACAGCGGGTGGGTTAATACTTCCCAGGCAAGATCTTTTAACGTGTCTTTAACTGGTTTTGAAGTGTGTGATGGTGCGTCATGAAGCAAAATTACTTTGCCGTGTCTTCTGGCCCATTCTGGCCGTTTTACGATCAGAGCCTGGTTCAAGTTGATTATTTGTTGTCGGTAGCGATCAGTATTAATGGTTTCACCTGGTTTTAGAAGCTCATAATACACCACACCTTCCTGATCCCACCAAACGCAGAGCAGTGTCTTCTTTCCAAAGTGATTTGTCCTTGCAGTCGATGTTGATGGTTGACCTGGACCAACCCATGATTTTGTGCGTTTGGGGTTCTCAAAATAAATCCACTTTTCATCGCCAGTCACAATTCGATGCAAAAAAGACTTTCTTTCGTGCCGTTGAAGCAACATTTTACTGATGACTTTTCGGTCATCAGTCTTTCGGTCATTTGTCTTTCGTTCAGTTGATGTGGCACCCATTTTCCTTCCTTTAAAATCTTTCCCATTGCTGGTAAACAATCGGAAATTGTTTGCTGAGCAACGTTTAATCTTTCTGCAAGTTGTTTTTGAGTTTGACACACATCTTCACCCAATAATGCTTGTCATTGTTGGTCTTCAAAGTTTTTCGGTTGACCTGGACGTTCTTTGTCTTCCACATCAAAATCATAACTTTTAAAGCGTTTAAACCAGCATTCACAAGTATCTTGATATGGAGCGTGTTCACCATAAGCTGCCCGAAGTATATCATAACTTTCAGCAGCACTTCTTCAAAATAAAGTAATGAATTAAAACTTCCCACAAATGCTTTTTTTTTTTTGGCACGAAATTTGACATTTTTAGGAGTAAAAATATCTATGATGTTAACACCTTCAGAAAATTTGACATATGAAGTTTTGAAGCTTGTTGTCAATACAACAAAATAGCATACATATCAAATCGCATATATATCAACATATGTGTAACTCCATCTATTGAAAAAATCTGCATTATTAACCGGTACCTAGTAAACTCAAAGTCTCAAAATTCATAACTATTACGAGCATACAGAGGCTTTAAGAAAAAACAAAGTCTCCACTTTTAAATAGTTAAAAAGCAGAATACACTTATCCATTACTTATGTCCTTGGTAACTACTTTACATCCTTTTTAAAACAAGGCAGGCCATAAATAAATAAATAAATAGCTGAGAGGGTCTGCTAACCAGGTTTTGTAGGTCTCTAAACTGAACACTTATATTCCTGGAAGGCAAAAGCAATTTCAGGAGGTTGAAAATACCTCCCGTAGATTTTATAAGTGAATACTTAACAAATGCTTTAAAAAATGCCTTTAAAATAATTTACTTCTTCCAAGGAAAACAGAAAGCATAGCCAGTATCACCCTACATTTTAAGAATACTTTCTGTTGAGAGAACACATCTTAACCGGCAGTTCTAAAGATATATTTTAAGATTTGTTTAGTCTTGACTTTTAAGTGCAGTAATTCAAGGATGTCATCATGTCAGGCCCACAGGACGGTGATTTTGTGGCTGTGTTGTGTTTTTTTTTAAATGTCCAGATATCTGTTCTTGAAGGTCTAGATTTAAACATTTTTTATTCCTGCTGCTGGGCATTTCCCAGACCAAGGCAGGCATGTGTTTCTGCCCAATGCTGAGTATTTAGCTCAAGGTTCCCTCCAGGCCCAAAGATAGAAGCTCAGATAGAACCAGCAGTGGTGGTTCAGGGGTCAGAGGTGCTGACTGGCCAACAGCTAGGCATGTCCACACCGGGACTCTCGGCAGCTCTGCAGGGCAGTGGGCCGGTGGGAGGGGGCTCGTTACCTCCCAGCACAGCATCCAGGCCGTCTATCGCACTGGACTGTGATTTAGGATCATTCTCTGGGGGACACACACACACCATCACACAAACCCCAGGAAAATCTAAACCCATGAATTATTCCGGAGGTGGCACTCTGAAGCCCATCTGTGTAGCTATGCAGACCAGCCTGGCTGCGGGGGTGCAGGCAATTACAGGCACAGGCAGGCAGCACGGGGCTGGCCCTGACCTCGGGGGCAGAGCCCAGGTTCCCAGGCTGCCTAGAGGGAGAGGGAGAGGGAGAGGGAGAGGGGAAGACAAGGGGAGCAGACTCACCCTGAGCCCTGCAGCTCCTCCAGATTGGATGCATTCCATTCAGAGCCCTGGGGGACAGAGCACACGGTTAAACCCCCGTGAGTGTCACATGTCAGCCTCAGACTGCTTACAGCCCTCATGGTGATGGTGAGTACACGGCCCCTGGCCTCAGAGAACAGAGGTATCAAGGCAGGTTCCCGAGGCATCCACAGCACAACAGGGGAAGGGCAAGCGCAGGAAAACCTGTTCCCCTCTCACCACTTCCTTTCCTGAGACGCCAGCAGGGTCCTCCCATGGGAGGCAGTGACCTCCGACCTCTGAGTCAGGAGGGGGCACTTCCACAGACCTCTCATTACAGCAGAAATCAGCCTACCTTTTCCGGGAGGTCTTTCGGTAATATTAATATTCTGACCCGGAAATTCCACTTACAAAACCTTACCCCAATGAAATACCCAGAGTTTGCACAGAGATTTATGTACAAAGATACTTAACGTTATTTACAATAACAAAATAGGGTAAACAACCCCAAAGACCCACAGGGAGAAATTAGTAAAACAAATGATGGTGGATCCACATGATGGAGCCATGAAGACAACTCATACTTTTGGAGGGTATTTCACAACACAGGGAAACACCACATAATGACAACAAAAATGTAAAGGACACAAATCTACGTAAACATAAACAGTACGCTTCTTCCCTTTTCCTTTTTAAAAAAGTTACACATGCAAGAAGAAAACCCAGGAGACAGAAAAATAAATATACCAAAATGCTAACTGTGACGACCTCTAGATTGTGAAATTAGGAATGCCTTTAATTTTCTTCTTCAGACTTACTTATATTCCCAACTTTCTGTAACATTTTAATTTAATACTTAAAAAACGATATTTAAAAACAACACAAACCCTCCATTTCTGAGCATGCAAAGAACACAAAGAAAAAACTACCACTCTGCTCCTCAGAAATGCAAACATAGAATCACAAAGAGCAACAACCCTGCGCGGTCCCCCCATGAACGGCCCTTCCCAGGGGCAGACCCCGCAGAGGCAGGGGCTTCAGGGACCTGCGGGGACTGGCCGCGTGTGGGTGCCAGTTGGATTTCCGTGCTGGAGGGAGAGGCTCAAACACAGAAATTCCTTTGGTATCTCTCATGGAAAAAGTGACAGAGCACCAACCACACGGAGAAGGAACTAGCGCTTCGCTAAGGCTGCGAGCGTCCTCTTGCCGTGATCGCCACCTAGTGGGCAGACGGCCGGCGGGGCCTTGAGCTGTCTCCACCAGGGAGAACCGTCACCTTCTCAGGAGACCAGAGGCCAGCGCTGCCACATCGCTTTCGTCTGGATACGGGCTTCAAACCCACGCATTTAGAATCATCTTAACATGAAATCCGCATGCAGACATCTGCGTACAGTAAGCATGTATATTTAACCCAGTAGCCATCTCTCACGGCACACGCATGTGGACGACCATCAGGCCGGGGAGTGGGAGCTGGGCCGGAGGGGCGGGCTTTCATTACTACGCTGTGCCGCCTCTAATTTTAGTAACGTGCCCTCTCCTACGGTCTCTGACTTTGAAAACTTGCCAGTTGCCTTCTATGGAGATTTACAGCTTTAAGAAAATCTGAGCAGGCGATGGAGGCTGCATCACTGGGCTCTGCGGAGAGCCACGGCTGCCTGGCCACGCGGAGGGGAAGCTGCGCTCCAGGTGTCTGTCCGGTCTGCCGTCCGGGCTGTTTCTCACGTCTCGGGATTCCCAGGCATAATTCTGGGGTTTGGTGAGCACGCTCCCTTTAGCCACTGGGGGTTTTAGCCTGCAGCCCATTTGGAGGTATCTGGATGGGGCCTGTGCTAGCCCCTGAAGAAGGGATGGCAAGAGTCTGAAAACGGTTGCCAGTTAACTATTAAACAACCCCCCTCCCCCCCCACAGCCCAGCTGTGGCAACAAGCATCGGGCTGGAGAGCAAACCACGAGGCTGCAGCCAGAGGAGGGGGGGGGCGTTCCCATGAAAGTCAGGATCGAAGCTCCAGTAACTCGAGTTTCCCCCTCTCTGACCTGCTCTAAACAACCAAGGTCCGACTTATGTTCCCCAAGGCAGACCCCGACATGGGCTGAGCCTCTTACGAGATAAAGGTGATCGAAGATGAGGGAGGGCTTGTCCATCTGTCCCAGGATAAGGAGCATCTCGTTGTCTATGAATTCCTTGAATTCTTTCAAGTTACAGTTCATCTGTTTCTCCAATTCGTTCCGGATCTGTGGAGTGGGAAACATTAGGAAAAGCGATTTGTTAAAGAAAACAGTTGTCACCCCCCAGAGAAGTAGTCACAATGCAAGCTGAGGCTGGTTGCCAAAAAGGTGTTTTTTTGCATTTTTTGTGCCGAGCAGCGCACGGGTGTGAGTGGTGGGAATGCAGGCTGCTCTGCCTCAAAGTAAACCTGACACGGGGGGGAGTTCATTATTTCACACAGGGAATCTGACTCCCAGGGGATCGTTTCTGAGTTGAAAGCACTTATATCTTTACAATTAAATATCAAACACTTCACAGTGCAAACCCCAAATCAGTTTCATCTTGCTTTGGAAGGTATCACAATATGATGTTGTATATTATTAATAAAAAGATTGCATCTAACTTTTCAAAATAGCCGTTTCAACCTCTTAGATCTACCTTGGTTAAGCTGTTATTACCATGCATTGTATTCCTTGAACCAAAAGCGACTGGGGAAAAAGTGACCCAGAGACACAGCAAAGGCAGAAGGAAAGCAGTCCAGGGTTAGCGACTCGCTGGTGAGGCGATGTGGGGCAGAGAGGGCGCGCACAGGACCTGCTTCCCGGTGCAATCTACGGGTCTCGTGGGATGCTCACTAAAAGCCTTACAGGGTCAGGGAGCCCAGGAAACTTGCCCAAGCCTCACAGCGGGCCCGTGGCAGGGCTCGGTTCGAACGAGAGTCTGACTCTGAGGCTGCGCTCTTTTCGCCAAGCCCTGCAGGAAAAAGCCTCCGGGAGCCGTGCGCCGCTCGGAAAAGAAGGCCAAGGCCGGGTCTGGGCAGCAGGACAAAGGAGGCCTGTGCCCTCGGGCCGCTCAGAAGGGAGGAGCTCTCTTACCTCTTTGGAGGTCACGTTCTCTAGGTCCTGGCTCATCATGATGCTGCGGAGCTTGGCTTTGATGAGGCGCTCGGTCCTCGCCCCTTCCGTTGGCCTGGAGGGAAAGTAGGAAAGTGCAGGGCTTTATACAGGAAGCCTGAGGTCGGAGTTCACAGAGACCCCGGCGCTCCTGGGCTAACCAGAACGTGGCTTGGGACCGACCACAGAGGTAACGTCTTGGTGTGTGTGTGTCCTCAGCAGGTGGGAGAGAGGGACAGAGTCCTGCGCCGTGTCCAGAGCTCCCTCCCACAGGAGCCTGCAGTGCCACAGAGCAACAGGGCACATGGGGCTGGGACGCAAAGAGATGCAGTCACATCCACGTTTGTCTATAATTTCGAAAGTGAGGTGTGGTCGCAGACCTTCCGTAGGCCACCCACAGGCCACCCGTCAGGGACCGCTGCATGGGAGGCTGGCTCTGGGAGAGGAGGTGCAACCACAGCAGGCGTGACATCGTGGGGACAGAGTCAGGCACAGGGCGGGTGGGCGGGGTGAGGAGGCAGCGCACTCACTTGTCGACAAACAGGGCCGGGGAGTCGGGCCGCGTGGACTCCAGGTCCTGCATGGCGTTCCACTCGTTGATGCAGCTCTGCTCGGAGCCGATGCAGCTCTCGTAGTAGGTGGCCCAGAGGAGAGCCACGCCCCCGGGGAAGTAGTTGTGCCTTCGTGCCACTTCGCAGGCCTTGTGAAGGACCTGCAGGGCGGACCTGGGGTGAGGAGGGCAGAGGGTCAGGCCTGGGAGGCACAGGCGAGCTGGGGGTTGCCCTCAGCAAAGGGTTTTAAACGGGCCGGGGAAGGGCAGGCCATACAGGACTGGCTCCTGGGGCTCCCGGCCTCCCAGGCCACATGGCTAGTCTCCGTGACACACGCACTGGCCCGAGAGCAGATAGAACATCCTTCACCTTTCCCAGCAAGGAAACAAAAATGTCCTAACTCTCCCCACCCCTGGTTCACAGACCACTTTACAGTCCACTGATGAACTCCCAAGGACTGAGGTGACTTCCGAGGCTGTGGGCATCTTAAGCGCAGGAGCGACAATTAGCCTCGCTGTTGGAAGGGAACTCATTACTAAGCAGCAGAGACATTTGACTGCTTTCTCATAGCTTCTAACCCCTCCCATCAATGTTTTAACAGCTTAGATCTCCTAAGGAAAGGAGTTCTAGAAAGTCATCTTAATGCAGAATCCAACTGAAGAAGAGGTTTGGGAAGGCGCTGGGACAGGAGGAACAATATTAAAAATGTATGTTATAATGGTCCATTTAGTCATTCTTGTATTACTTCTTTTAACAAAAGGATAGTGGAACCTTTCTCAGCGAATGGGGTGCGCTAGGTGTGGGGGAGGGTGGAAGAGCGCAGCTCTGGGTGGAGGGAGAGCGAGCAGAGAACGCTCAACATGGGGTAAAAGCCATGGCGGCCGCGTGCCTTTCCAACGGTACATGGCTGCAGGCTGGTTGAGGGAACAAACTTGGGCTGGGTATTTACGAAATCTAGCTCTGGTTCTGAAGTTTTCGAAAAGCACGTGGGCCTATTTCTTACTCGCCTGTAGAAAAAGGGTAAAAAAAAAATCACCCAGGGACACAGAGAACATCTGGGGCACCTAGGGAATTATGGCCTCACGACTTCCCCCCAAAGGATCCTGAACAGCCTGCAGGGTGAGCAGCGGGAGAGACAGCAGCGAAGCCCGTGGCAGACTCCTGCAAAGCTCTCGCCGTCCTGGACGGAAGACTGGCCAGACGTCTTCTCGCAGACGCCACCAGCTTTCTCCTGAGCCTTTCCCAGATTATTCAAGGCCGGCCTCAAAGTTTGCTGCATGTGTGGGTGGTGCAACCCTCTAGGGATGAGGAAGGCTCTAGGATGTGTGTCCCGGGTTCGGGGAAGCTCTGGACGTGAGTCATTTTGCCCAACGCAGCCCTGACCCACGGGGACCTCACCCTTAAAGCAGAATGTTTGGGAGGCCCTGCACCTCCCCAGGCCCCTGCATGCTGTAGAAGGCACCTCCCCAGCCCAGCACTCCGTGAGGACGCCCTCCCAGCTCTCCTCGGTGTAACACATGGCTTTGTTTTGTGTTTATGGCCATCTCCCCCCACCGACTTTAAACTCCACGCGGAGAGGAATTGCGTCCATTTCACGCCTCCCAAGATGCTCAGTGCCTAGCAGAGTGCCCTTCCCTTCATGGTGCAATCTGAATGCCTACTGTGTGCCAGGTACAAAGAGCAGGTGAACTTATGATGGAATGACACCTGTCAGGAGGGACTGAACGTACATATGCAAAAACAACACACCTTCCACAACAGAAATCAACCAAATTAAAAAGTCGCCAGAGGACAAACTAGACATTTTTCCAAAGAAGATGTACAAATGGCCAATAAGCACATCAAATGACACTCAACATTAATTAATTAGGGAAATGCAACCAAACCATAATGAGGAACCACTTCACATCCATTAGTATTAAAAAAAAACCCACCAGAAAAGAACAAGTGTTAACTGGGATGTGGAGGAAGTGAAATCCGTGTGCACTGCTGGTGGGATTGTAAAATGGTGCCGCTGCTGTGGAAAACAGTTTGGTGGTTCCTCAAAAAATTAACCATAAAATCATCATGTGATCTAGAAAGTCCACTTCTAGGTACATACCTAAAAGAAATGAAAGCAGGCACCACAAACTGATGCTTTGCTCACCAACATTCACAGCAGCTCTACTCACAATAGCCAAAAGGTGGCAACAACTCAAAAGTCCGTCCACAGACGAGTGGATAAACAAAACGTGGTATAGCCCTATCACGGAGTAGTATTCAGCCATGAAAAGGAAGGAAATTCCGACACATGCTACAGCATGGATGCACCCAGAAAGCATGATGCTAAGCGCAAGATGCCAGAGGCAGGGACCAAGGATTCCACTTACACGGGGGACCCGAACAGGCAGAGACAGAGTGGAACAGAGGTGACCAGGGGCTGGAGGAAGGGGGGCGGGGAGCTTGTGGCTAATGGGTACAGAGTTTCTGTTTGGGATGACGGAGAAGTTCTGGAGATGGATGGTGGTGATGGCTGGACAACACTGCGAACGTACTTAATGCCGCCGAATCACACATTTAAAAATGGTTAAAGTGGTCAGGTTTGTCATGTAAAGCTTATCATATACACAAAACAAATGTACCTAAACCCCTAGCCGGGGGTTTTCTAGTCCTGCTGTCAGCTGGGAAGCTATTTTTAAGGAGCTGAAAGTCCCTAAATCCACACTCACCACATGGCCTGGACAGATACGGGCTTGAAGACGTGCATCCTTCCTGCTGTGCTGACGCTGAAGCCACTGAGTGAAAAACAAAGACAGCACGGTGAGAAACCAGCCCCTCCGACCACATCACGGCAAGGCGGTGGGGCAGGCCCCCCGGGGACACTCTGCCTCATGCTGTCTGATGAGGGACCACAGGCCGGCTGCATCAGACGAGGGCGAAGATGGGCTCTCCATCCCGGAAGATGCGTTCTCAACCCCACAACGCGAGGTCTACCAAAACGGAAACCCCAGCACAGGGTGCGAGGCCGTGACAGCATTCGACCCCGTCTCGTTCATGCTTTGCAATGGCCCAACCCACCTGCTATGTCCCATCAATATTTTTTGGGGAATTGCACGGGAAATATATGAGTGGGAGACAACATTTAAAACAGGAAAGCATTACTATAATCCTATGTCTTCAAGAAATCACATGTTTGTTTCTCCCCATTCCATCTGAGGCGGCATAACCTTTACTGCTAGGATCCCAGCAGGGACAAGGTCCCATCCTGCCTCCTTCCGCCCCTCGCAGAGCCCATATGTTCTCCTGGGGGCACACGTATGAAGAGCCCAATGGCCCTTTCTCTCATCTTCCTGCCCAGAACGAACTAAACGATTCCTCCTCTGCAGCCCCCCTGTCAGTTGTCCCTGCACCCCCAAAACGGTGAGCTCCTGCTGTGTCACATTCCTCTGTGAGCTTTCAGGGACCAGCCCCAAATGGAGGACACAGTGTGGGTATTCATGGACCAAAGACAGGTAAATGAATGAATGAATGACTGTCTGCTTACTGCTGCTCTTGACCGTCACACAGCGATCTCCTGTAACGTGCTTCTGTGGCTCCTTCATGACCCAAACTCCCCACACAATGACCAGGATGTCTGTCCCTTTCCTCGTGTGGCTCATTGGGGGGCAAAAGTACTTCTCTTGATGCAACAGACACGTCATACACATGGTTCTTCTGCTAATGATTACCCAACGACGCCCACACCGACTCGCATTTCAGAGTTTACAGTGATTAAAAGAATCTTTTCAGGAGAACGGCTTACCCGTCGCCATCGAGGTGGATCTTCGTGTCGCTCCACAGCCGGAGAACCATCCCAATGGTGCAGCTTTTGCTACGCGGGAGGAAAGGAAGATGCCCAGGGTTAGAGTCACATTTACCTGTGACCTGCTTACACGCTACTTCCCTGTGTCTTCGCCCAGCCCCTGACCTGGCTGGGTCCAGCTCCCAGTGTGGGCCTGGGAGCTGCTCATGGGCTGTGTGTAGGGACTGCTCACCACTGCTTCTAGAAGACACGGGGCTGCGATGGCCCCATCAGAGGGAGTTGCCAGTGACCCCAGCTTGGAGACAGTCACAGGGTACTCTGACCCCACGGTTTGATGTGGTTGCAGCTTCACAAGCACCAGGTCTCAGCTGCAGCTCTCAGGGGAAAAGGAGGGGCCAGCTGGCCACACGACCTCACTGCAGCAGGGGTGAAGCCGCCGATGGCTGGCGCACTCCTGGCGCGAAGCCATGCGCGCTCTGGGGGACACAGACGAGTGGAGGCAGCCAACCCAGGCTCCCGTCCTGGGGTGAGGGGGGAGGGCAGCGTGCCAACACCATTACCGGAGTTCAGTGCCAGGCCTCTCTTTCTCTACCTTTTGTGCAGCTGCTGTTCCAGAACCAGCTTAATCTGCTTGTTTTGCCCATCCTCACGGTGAAATGATACTTGAGAGACTGGCGCCGCCGGAGCGCGCCGAGGGAACGGAAGGGCTTATCACGGGGGCTCCTCGGATTCTCATGAACATTCCTCAGGAATCTGAAGGAGTCGGCTGTGAGGAGCCGCTGTGACTGTGCCAAGACCAGCTCCACAACCTCCAGGGATCTCCAGCTTACATCTCTGCTGCCACTTAGCAGCCCGCCCAGGGAGTAATGTGACGAGCGCGCGACTGTGCAGACAGGAGCCCCGGGCTCACAGGGCAGCTCTCCCTCTGAGCATCTGCGAGCCTGCCCCTGCCGGATGCTTCCAGCCTTTCGTGTTAGGCCAGTTCTCGTCCCACCCTGCAGTCCTCCCCGTCCTCGATGGGCTAATGACACTTCCTTTGCAGAGGGGCAAAGTAAAACTTGTGCTGAGACTCACAGCTCCCGGAACTTCTTGGCTGTGACAGTGCTGGGGCGAGGCAAGGAGGGGACCCCTCAGAGCCCCAGACTGACACGTCCCTTCCCCTGGACTTGCCCAACTGCCCGCTCGTCCTTTGAGACCTGGCTTAGCGACTGTGTGTTCCAGAGGCCTTTGGCATGGCCCCTCTACACCCACCCCTCTCCTGTGCTCCACGACCCCCCGCATGTCTGCATCCCTGAGCCACCACCCCAGCATCGGATGACGGCTCTTCTTCACTGAGCTCACAGGCTCTCTGAGGTCAAGAACTGTGTGTACTGCTGCTGCTTTGTTTACCTGGGCCTTGCCTGTTGCCTCATACACAGGAGAATGCAAACTGTTTGCTTAATGAATGAGCAGATTAATGAATGATGACTAAGGGGAGCCCATTTCATCTAGTTTTAACAAATCCAGGCTTGGCAATGATCTCACCTGTATTAACTTATCCTGGATGTAAGAAGAGCCATTCGCCTTCATTTCACACAAATAATAGGGCCTATGATACAACGAACTTGGCCTCTAGTTATTGGGAAATTCCAAACCTCTCTGAGCCTCTGACCCAGGACCGTCTCCCAGTTTGGGAATCGGTAGGACAGCAACACTGGATAAGGCCTTCGACTCGCTGCCTATCGAGCACATGCTGCTCATGCAGGCCCGTCTGCCTGGAAGGCGGTCCTCCCTCCTCACTGGGCTGGCTCCTGCATTGACTGGGTGTTCACCACCACCGTCACCTCCTTCAGGAAGCCCTCCTGGCTAAGTGCCCTTGTCTCCAGCACCCCGATGGCACCCAGTGTCAGACCTCCAAGCACAGTGTCACTTTCTTTCCTCTCAGGAGACCCTGAGCTCAGAGCAGAGACTGGAGCTGGCACAGTGCCGCACACAAGAGCGGAAATGCCGTGCCCTGCTGCTCCTGGTCACGCTGCCACCCACCATCGTGCATCCCACCGTCAACTCCCAAGGATACAGGGTCACAGAAATCTTTTTCCAGCAGCAACTCTTGTCCCATCAGACTCACCTCTCCTTACTGGAAAAGTCGACGCCCAGCAAGATGCTCTCCTCTGTGTCCTGGCGCCCGCTGCTGTCCACCACCACCATGTACCGGACCCGCTCCGCCCAGGCGCTCTCCAGGCGCACGGCCTGCAGGGCAGAGAGGCTTTCACGGCCTGCCCTTCCGGGTCGTGCCCCCTTCCTCCGCCCAACCAAGGTCAAGGACATCTGCTGCCTACCTTTCCCCTGTGAGTTTAGACTTTAAGGTGAGATTCTCAGGCATAGGAGCCACATCTCATTTATACCCCAACACGAGGGACAGCGCCTGACATGGGGGGGGGGGGTGCGGAGGCTGGGGTGGCTCCCCAAGTGTGTTAATAATAAAGTGGGTGAATAATAAAATCCAGACACTGAAGATGCCAACTCAGCACTGGCTGACAGACTGACAGAGACCCCATACATCCTTTCGCCAGACCCTCTGGGCACCGAGGAGCAAACTCCACATTGGCTTTTGTGAACAATTTAGGAGAATTTGCTAAAATATAAAAACTCACAGACTTCCCCTCCCCCCACCACCCCACCCACTGCTCATCAGTAATTCCCTACCAAATTTCACAATTAAAAATTAAAACTTGCCACTCTCGTCTCTTCTTACCAGCTTGATTCTATCTTCACAACGCAGAAGGTTGATCATCACTTGCAGATGTTGGGGCAAGTCACCTATCGGACCAACAAATCAAGTTCACACAGTAGGAAAATACCGTTTGATTTAGAGGAAGGACACATTTTATACAGAGTGAGTAAAGCCTGAGCATTTGCTTTGCTATACGTATTATTGTTAAGATATAAACAATGGTTCAATTCCTATCAGAGCAAAACGGATAGCAAATTCAAAAATAAAGGTTCTGTTTATAGCTGTATTGTACCAGAAGTCACCGCAAGTAATCATTATAGCGACCATACACTGAGCCCCTACGAGGAGGTAAATATGTTACCTGCGTAAATTTTAAATTCCATAACCTCCAAGGTACTGGTATGTGATGCCCATTTTAAAGATCAGGAAACTGAGGCTCAGAGGTTGGCCACGACAACACAGTCAGTTCCAGAACTAGGATCAGAAGCCAGGTCCTTTCCCCACACCATACTGCCTCCGTGTGTAGAACAACTGTTGTCCTGTCTTCAGACAGACTTAAATCTTGATGACAAACACCATTATGTGAAAATACTGATTGAGCCTTGGTGTTTGCTATCAATTGTAAGATACAAAATTCTAACCCCAGCTCTCAGGTCCAAAACCAGGCTGGATGACTTGACAAACAAAATGATCACAGTGACGAGAACACTGGCCCCAATGGCTAGTTGCTTTCACCTGTTGTTCAGGGTCGGAGGACTTTCCAGCTGACATTCAGCGTGTGCTGCCCGTCCCAGAAGTCCCAGGAGCACTTACCCACAAGTAAGTTTTCTCGAGTCTTCTTTTCAAACTGCCTTTGGTTTCAGAGTCAGTCACCAAAGAATACCAGTGTATTTACTTTATAGGCATTCCTTATTGGGTTGTGTTTGAACCTAAATTAATACTCAGTTTGATCCCTACTTTACCACTTCCCTGTTTCCTCCAACCAAATCGACCATTAAAAGATAAAGACTTTCCATCTCAGTGCGTGCCAAGGGCTCGTAAAGACATTCCCCTAACGAGGCTGCCTGGAGCTCTCTTTGCCGTGTGAAAGTAATACACCCTGTTACAGAAAGTTTGGAAACTAGAATTAAAAAAACGTTATCAACACCTAGAGACAACCAGCGTCGTGGCTTCGTTCTACTTGAAGACCAGTTACGAATCTCTCTCTCTGTTGGGCTGGGGTTCCCTTGGCCCCTGGCTAAATAGATGAAGATCTCACTCGTTCTATCCCTGGGTATCCTCTTTTCCCAACTATGGGGTGCAAGAAAGGGGGGAAGGATACACAGTCTGGACACATGTTGCTTAATAAGGCGAGGCAGGCTGTCAGGTGCTCATGCCAGATGTGTCACTGAACTTTGTCTTGGCAAAGTTTAAAAATCACTATTTTTTCATTCCACTGTCTTTTATAAAAACAGATTTTTTTCTTTTGGTATTATAGAGAATATGGGGGGGGGGGCGGCGCGGAGAGAAAGAAAATCTCCAAATGAGTTTTCCAAATGCTCGGAGAAGTGACAGCATCCCCAGACTGCGTATAGAGCACCCCAAGGTGGCTGTTTCAAGGGCACAACCCCTGACGATAGCGTATTCTGGTGCGTTTGTTTAGAAAGCCCTACTTCAACTGAAAATATGCAGCTACCTGATAAACTGTAAGTAGGGCATCCTTACACCCTCACTCGTCAGGTAGACGCCAGGCTCAGAAGGGCTGCTTGCCCCCGGCGCCGCCTGGAAGCCACGCCTGGCCGGCCTGCGCAGAAGGGCTTCTCCCTGTACCCGTCGTCACAGCCCTGGTCCCACTATTTCTCTGGCCTTGAAAACCGACGCGTGGCTCACCACCAGGAACGGGGGTCCCCCGCGGCAGAGAAAACGCGCTCCCGGGGAAGAGCATCGACTCACCCGCGTGCTTGTGGGGGTGCTGCAGGCTTCGCTGGCCTTGAGGGCTGCTTCCCTGTTGCAAGAAGAGGGCCGCTCCTTTCACCATGAAAAAGCTCTCACTTAAGCTGGAAGGATGGGACCGGAGGTTAGGCTGGGCCTCAGAGAGGAAAGCGGGCAAAGACGTGCTACAGCGGCGGTGCTCAACCTGTGGGTCATGACCCCTTTGGGGGGTCGAACGACCCTTTCACAGGGGTCGCCTAAGACCATCGGACAACACATATGTAATTACATATTGTTTTTGTGATGAATCACTATGCTTTCATTATGTTCCATTTGTCACCATGAAATTGGGGGTCACCACAACATGAGGAACCGCATTAAAGGGTCGCGGCGTTAGGAAGGTTGAGAACCGCTGTGCCACAGAGCTGAAGAGCTGGGGTGCGCAGCACGTAGCGCCCAAGTGGGATAACAGAGCTTCTGGAAGATTTCCCAGAGCTGCCTTCCCGGCTGTGCTACAAGCTTGCCGTGGAGGGTGCGTGTGCGGAAACGACGCTTCCGCTCGAACACCCAGGTTCTCCGGTTCCATGTGGGCTCTGCCGGGCCCGAGAGCCCCCTCCTGCAGGACACTGTGAGGATCTCACGGTGATACACCGGCCTCTAGAAACAGGGACCGGCCCTCTGCTGGGGGCAGGCGGTGCATCTTTCGTGGTCTTGCTGCTGACCTGTTTCTAACTCCGTGTCTCCTAACAGCTTCACTGCTCCTGGCGGCCTTCCTCTGATGGAAGCCAAGGGAGCGGAAGGGGCACTGTCACTGTGTTTGCATCTGAAGAGAAGCTGAGAGGCCGTTGACCTGGGGTTTAACTCAGTCAAGGGTGCTGTGCCCACTGTTGCTGCAGAAAACCTCCCGTCGACCCAATGAATTTCTCAGCAGAATAAATCTTTGGTCTTCTGTTACTTTAACTACCAAAAACATTCACATTCAACCTATAACTTAATAATTTGCAATTAAAACGTTTTCAAGGTTTCCAAATGCTCTAAAAAAATCTCTAGCTTATGCAGAAATTAAAACTGCATAAAGTAGTAGACTGCATTATCTGTTAATTACTTCCAATTATTCAAAAATAGTCAACTCTGAAAATGACCCAAAAAATACTCCAAAATTATTAACTGTTTTTTGAGGGGTTGGACTACTTATGATTATCTTCTTTCTACCTCTTAGTATCTTCCAAATCTTCTACACTGAGCAAATATTAACTCTTTTAAATGATTATTTTTGTTTGACTTTCATAAGTAATACAAAATATGTACAACATGTTATCATGAAAAAAAATTTTATTTTTATTAATTTTACGAAAGATCACAAATTTTAGTTTAAATTTTAGAAAACTGTAAAAATGATCAATTCTCTCTTGAGCAACCAATTAATATATAAATGATGTGAAAGGAAAATCTCTTAAGAAAATGCGGCACTTTTTTTGTTTGAACAGAGAGCAAATCAGTTCCTGATAGAAACACAACAGTGTCTTCGGTAACATAAGAAAGGAAGATCCCCTCTGCCCCAGACATCCACTGTGAGTAAACCTTCTAATCCTGGAATAAGCAAGTCAGCTACGTCTAACAAGTAACTCTAGGTGCTAAGAAAACTCACCACACAAACGAGCAAGTCAGCCAGCAGATCCTGGAATCAGACACGGTTATCTCCTAGAACGCAAGCCCACAATCATATCTGCTGGCTCTCCTGGTTGAATTCCCATGCTAAAAATAGGGGCTGCTCAAATATCAAATAGGAAGGCTCCGTCTGCCTCTTACTTGGGCCTCTGAATTGCTGATAACTGGCTTTACAGATTTTGTAACACCAATACTGTACACCTGTACAACTTCTTTATTTATGACAGCGAATGTACTGCCAAGCCTTCCTTCCCACCGATTTGTCATATACGTGTGCTGCAAGGGAAAGTGCTGAGGAGCCCAGGATTCTAAATGATGGAGGAAATGAGAGGCACCCTTCCCTTTGCCGTCTCGCTCTCACCCGTGGGAGGCAAGAGGCTCTCGAGGATCCACGTGGCCCACCTGAAATCCAGGCTGTCGTATTTTAGCAGGCGGCGGAGTCACCCAGCACCCTTCCATCACCCTTCTCGTTTGTCACCTTCTCCTTCCTTAACATTTCACAAGCAACTCTGTTTTCAGAACTGCTGTTTCAGACACAGATCACTCACTCCTGATTCTCGGTGAAATCTGGAAGAGCTGCCGGAGGGACCCCAAAACCCACGAAAGAAACGCAGCCACCAGTTCACTGAAGCAGCTGGGAAAATTTTTTTCAAGGCAACATCAGCCTCTTTTGTTCATGGGTTAAAAACAACAACACAAAAGCAACCCCAGAAAAACAAAAATCCGCACTGACCCAAACCCCAAGCGCTCTGGAAACAGCCAGCCATGAACCGTGACCTTTGCCTTGGAAATCACGGGCAAAAATTCCCCTTGGTTTCCCTCACACTTCCTTTGGAAAAAAAGGGGAACAATGCAAAAGAATAGGCTGGTTTTATCCTGTGATCGCTGACTAGGCCAGTTGTTCCTCGGGGTCCCTGACACTGATAAAGAACCAGGGCCTCCCATCCACACATGAGGCTGGGGGGGCGGGGGGTGTAGGGGTAGCTGTGTGTATGGGGCCTGTCCTCCTCCCGCCATTCGTCGCAGGCGTGTACTGGAGAGGAGACTGGAAGCTACGGGCAGCCCTGTGCCCTGTGCCCGCGCCTGGGAGACGGTGAGAGGACACAGCACGAGGATGGCCGCACAAGATGACTCTCGGGGCCAAGAGGCCGCACAGCCAGGCAGTCACAGGATCAGGAAAACAAGACACAGATATTTCTCCCACCGTTTCCTGGCTTTTGTGCCGAGCTCATTGCAGGCCCAGAGCCTAGGCGCCCTCTGCGTGGCTGATGCGAACAGTTTCCCACTGCCAGGGCGCCGTCGGGGGTCTCTGACAGGCCTCCAAGACCCAGAGGCAGCGTACCCCGATTCATGGGTCTCCAGGCGCCCCTCTGGGGAAGGAGGCCCTGTAACAAACCCACTTTGGCTCACTCCTTCCGGGGTACTCAGGGCAGGAAGCTCAAACCCACCAACCACCCATCCCGGCTACAGAAAACCTGCATCTCCTCAAAGACGCTGGCGTCCTAAAAAGAGCGACTCAAGTTCCAGAAGGTCAGACCCAGACGAACAAAACTGAACTGTTTCCCTCCGTCGCTGTAAGGAAAATCTTGAAGTAACAACAAAGCCAGCCCCTGCCCTCCCGCCCCCCACCCCAACGCTGTTATCTCCATGGGACAAACATGCTCTCAGACACTGGCTCCTGCCGCTTCCCTCCCCGCCGAAAGATTAAAGTCTCTACAAGGCACTGAAGACGAGAGAAAAACCTCAATCGTTGCTCCTCAAGAAAACCCCAGCCCTCAGAGCATCAGCAGCCACTCATCCCATCACCCAGCCGGGGCAGGAGAACAGAGACCAGCAGGGGATACGTACTAATTTGGGCTGGAAACCTCTGAGGAGCAGAAGTAAGGAGGTGGCTGAAGGGAGACACAGAAATCGGTAAAACAAAAAAGCTTCATGACGGCGGCGATCACATGGTTGGCGACCCCGAGCCCCGGCCTCCCACGCCCCAGGAGAAGGCAGGCAGGTGAGGAAGAGGCTGGCGTCCTTCGGCGAGGAGTCCTCGGCCTCGGACGATGCTCCCTCCCAGAGAGCAAATGGCTCTGGTGGCACTCTCGTCTCCCCCTGATATTTGGGTTGAAAAAGGCCCTTGTCCCTGCACATCCTGATGAAAGGGCCATTCAGAGGGAGCCAGGCAGCTGAAGTTCCTCTCATCACTTTCCTCCCACGCCGTGGGGTGGCCTCAGCAGCAGGCCAGAGGGTGCGCATCGGCAACGGGGAGGGAAAACAGCTGGCCGCCCAGGCACACGTCCGTGCGACCGGACCCATGCTGGCCGCCATCGTCACACTGAGGGATTTCTGTTTCTTTCAGAACACCATCCACTCACCCAGCCGTGACCGTGGGCAGCTGCCACAGTTACCGGGCACTTGCAAAAGCACGTTTACGTTCTGGAAATTCTGCAGTCATGCTAACAGCTCCCTGAGGAGGCAAGACTGGGGAGGGGGAGTTCCAGATAGAGGGACCCTCCCGGATGCACATGTGAGAAATGCACGCAAGGTGCTCAGGACAGGCCAGGCTGCGCAGGTAAAGCAGGCCCGGGTCCTGGAGGACCTGGTCCAAGACCCCACCCACAGGGGCCAGCCGGGAGCTGTCTGCTTTTAGCGCTTCTTTCAGCCGGGGAAGTAAAGTAAGGGTACGAATAACCACAGTGCAGGCAGGATGGGATCCCACCCTAAGAGAGGAGCTCGGGGAGGTCTTATCTGGAAGCTCCCCCAGCTCCCAAATGCTCCCAAAAGGATTAAGTGAAACACAGACACAACGATTCTTATTTGGCAGCTGAGGATACAGCTTGCCCAGGAGCAGGCAACTTGACGAGATGGGATTAGACAAGTATGTTTGCCCCACGTCCACCTTCTCAACCCCTGGACTGCCCGTCGTCCCTGCCCATCCAGACAGCTAACTGCAACGCGGCTGGTTCCGCTACAGCACACGTGACCGAGAAGTCGGAACCCGGACTCGGCTCCAGTGCTGGTTCCCAGCACATGGAAGAGAAGCCTCGGCATCAGAGTTCCTCCACCAGCCTGGGGACAGGCGGAAGGCACCCCAACCACCCTGCCCACGGCCACCTGCACAGGACACATCCTTCCGTCCTTCCTACTGAGTGGGAATCCTGCAGAGTCCTGTGGGTGGCGCGGCCACGCTGGCCGAGCTGCTTCCCATCAACAAGCATTGCAATACTGTCATTACCAAGCTCCTGCCACGTGGCAGGGGCTGTGCCAGGCACTTAGCTATGCATGGCGTCCAGCTCCCACGGCTCGGAGGGGCAGGCATGCCTTTCTCCATGTGACAACTGCAGGGAGCCCGTCAAACTCCTGAAACCGTGTCCAGGGCAGCCTCGTTTTTAACCAACTCCCTGACTGATTCTGGTGCACACTGAAGTTTAAGAAAAGAAAATACACGGGTCTGGGTTGTGACTCGTGG